CCCGTTACCCCTTGTCCTATCACTACAGGCTCTTGTAAACAGTCCTCTCCCAGCACCCTTGTAACCATCTTACTGTGTGAGGCCTGTGTAGTTCAGATTTCTTTGCACAAGAAGATGGGTCTTCAGGTTCTGCTTATTTTTAGCAGATTAGAAGCATAAAGAAGTTCAGTAATGTCTGAAGGGAAAGACTTGAAGCTTTGGAATGTGGCTGCATGTTGTGTTTTATCATCATGTCCACTAGCTAACTGTGATAGTACGTATTATGTTGCATGGCCTGGTAAAAACCAAGTATTTTGCTAAATCTTTTCTGGGAAGAAGAGTGCATTCATCTTAGGAAAAAAGGAACTGTGTTTAATCTCATGGAAGACTCCTGGCTAAAAATATCTGGTCATAAAAAGCACAAACTACATATTCAATTTTCCTCTATATTACTTGTAATAACAGTATACCGATAATGGTATAAATATGATACCCAACCACCCCCAACGTTCAATTCCTGTTAAAATTGCCATTATGCCATCATTTTTGTACTACTAAAAGACTTTCCATTCAAGAGTAGTTATTCTTTTACTTATAGATAATAAAGCCATATTTATTTTAGAAATTAATTTCATTGTAGCATTTAAATTTATCTGTAGCAACAGATGTTGCAGAAAGAGCTCTTAAATTAGGAGATAGGTTAAAATAATTTTGTAATCCCAATGCAATTTCCATTATTTGTCTTCTTCTGGAGTAGGGGTTTTTGATGGCACTTGTCTGTTGCATCTGTCTTAAGCATGGGGTAGAAATTCATACTGTGAAAGTCAGTCATATGAATTATTCTGCTCTTTTTTGAAGTGGATGCTGTGATAAGATAGAAAAGATGAAATTATTTTTAATGACTGTCAGTCTTAAGCCAGTTTTGTATCCTATAATTAACAGTTCAATAATTAAGTTCAGTCTTTAAATTTTACATACACCCAAGAAAATAATGTCACATTTGCAGTTTCTTTGTTCAGAGATGTAATAGTGATGCGTGTTTGAAATTAGGCTTTTTGGAAATTGCCTTTAAGTCTAAGATCTCATTGCATCTTGTACGAAAGTAAAATCCCTCTGCTACTGAATAAAACCAGTCCCGCTTGTATCTGTGTACCTGTGTGGAATTTTGTTGCACGAAATTCCTGACTGACAGGTTAGTATGTAGCACTAGCACCATCCTCAATGACCCCTTCATCTATAGGCATAACTAGAACCAACATTTTGAGGCTGTATGATTTTTTAACCAAGATCATGTAGCCCAAATAGTTGTGAAGTTTTGAGTTTTTCGGTATTATGTAAAAGATGTCACTACCAGTGCTGCTGTTAAAGTTTTCATGCCTGAAGATATCCTTTTTTAGTGCATACTGCAAGGAGTAATACCAAAAAAGTTACCTTGAGGAAATTGATTTATTGATTTTTACCATGTCCTATGGCTGGCTGAGGTATTTCATTTGTTAATAATATAGTCCCCTGTAACGTTCAAAGTATGTAAGGACAGCAGTCCTTGAATATCAAACCTAGCTAGGGAGGAATTGAGTGGTGACCAGAAAAATCACCTCAACTGCAAAGGAGCTGATGGATTTTGGAGTTGGTTCTGGGATACCTCTGTTTTGTGTTACTCTGAAAACTCTTATAATCCTAGAACAGGCTTATGAATACCACTGACTCTTGTAATATTGATGAAGGAATTGTAGCACCCAGTCCATTGGTAATATCAACTTGATTCCCCAACTTGATTTGGATTTGTAACCAACTGTTTCAGGTTTCATTAGCATGGAGTAGAAATTCTTTTAGAGCATGTTATTAATACTTTGTTACAACTATTTTTACTGACTGTATTTGACCTTTCAGTAGTCTGCTAACAGGATGCAGACTATTGATTAGAGTTCATGTCTTCTGATCTTTGAAATTACTGCTCAACACCTATTTCATTGCTGGATGTCTCAAAAAAGGCAAAAGACAAGCATTAAGAAATCATTAAGAAATTATTTGTGGATGTTTTCTGAAATATTAGCTTGGGCTTGGATACTTCTTTTTCCTCGAGAATCCTGTGTAATGTGTAAAAGTACCCTTAGCTTTAATGCTGTCATCCCAGCCTTAAAATTATTTGCTGCACACATTTTTACTGCTCATGTGACAGCTCCTTAAGTTGGTATATATTTGCCTTTGTCTGGCGGGGTTAGTTTTTTCCCTGTGCTTAGCCAAGTATAAACAAAGATAAGTCAATGTCTATACTCTGGGGTAACATTTCTTCTAACTACAGAATTAAGTCCAGTTTGTGGAACTTCATTCAAAATGTTGAACAATACAGAGTAAAGAAGTTGTGTGGCACTTTTCTCAAAAACCTTAGCTGCTATGCAGTTTTAGATTGTCTACTGCAAGTCGAAAGATTTTAAAGCATGCTGCAAATACAAAGGAATACAAGCTAAAACACATACCCTTGTCAGTAGCAGCTCAGCCTGCTGAGGCTTCTAAAACAAGTGACTTGATTTACACGGGTGCTGTGAATTTACAATTTCGTGGTTGGATTTTTGGTTGCCTGGTGGAAGTAAGTCAGGCAACACTCCATTTATTTAAAAATAATTTTAGGGTTGTTAATTTGTCTTTCAACTAAAATGTAGCCCACCCAAATGCTTTGTGTCAAAACAGTACTGGAGTGGGATAGTGGTGGAATAGTCTTTGTCCAAAATACATCCTTATATCTAATGGTAGGGTGAGGTTTTACTCTTTCC